ATTTCTTTTTCAAAATCTCAACTTTTTATCTTTGAATTCCCTCTTACTTTCATTTTTTACCCTCCAAACTGTAACTGTACTTTTAAGTTTTTATTATTATAAATGGTTAATTTAATTTTAAAAAATATTAAATTTAAAAAGAAAACAAATAATAAAAATAAATTTTGAAAATAATAACTTAAGAATAAAATAAGTATTTTAAGAATTATCTTTAGTGTACACATTTTCTTTCTCATGTTATTCTTTAAATAATTGTTTTTTAAATTAAAATAATTACATTTACAATTTTACCTCTTTTTATAACAACCTAAAAATTTGAGTATTAAAGTTGAGACGTGTTTTAAAACAATGAAATAGAGTATTTTAATTTTAAAATAATTCAATAAAATAAATAAAATTTCTTAAAATTTGTCTCATTATTTAAACATAAGTCTTCTATCTTTTCTTATAAGAACTTAGAAATTTGAGTATTAGAGTTGATATGTGTTTTAAAATAATGAGGCAGAGTTAATTTTGATTTTAAAATAATCCAAAATAAATAGGATTTTTTAAAATTCGTCAATTATTTAATCCAAAATAAATAGGATTTTTTTCGTCAATTATTTAAACACAATCGTATTTTCTCTAAAACTATGTCTCTGAGTTCTCTATCTTTTCTCTACCTTTTCTAACTCCTCAGTCATCTCTTTAAGGATCAAGAGGTGCCTAAATCATCACATTTGCGAGGTTTACGTTTCTACCCGATCAATTTCTTCTTTAGATCAAATAAGTTTCTTCTTTAAACAATTTATGACTTGTTTGGACCCATAGAATGTTTAACTTGACATGAGAATAGGTGAAAGTCAGTTCAGGGTGAGTTAGAGTTGGTAAATTTAGTGTAGAACATTCATTTTAAGCTTGAAGCATGTTCTTAAAGTATCATCTAGGTCTAGGGCATCATATAAACCATTTAAATATGTGTAAAGGGTAGCAAAAATCATATTAGTGGTGTTTTAGGGATTGTCATGGCATTGAGCCCCCTCTTAAGGGCGCCTGAGCGCCACATTCTAGTGCGCTCCTTGACTCGTTCGCGCTGAGCGCCTCATTCTAGCCGCCTTTGGCACCTAGGAATCTCATTCTAAGCATTGACGCCCTTTTGGTAGGTTATTGATTAAGTGATTTTCAAGTTGTTTTGTGATTCTTAATGCATTGTTCTGACACTTTGATGGATGTTGAATGGTTTCATGTGTTTGCCCATTATGTTATAGGAAGTTATGTATAATTAAAAGTGTGGAAAAGAGTTCCAAAGAGGAAATTCTTATTGATAGTTTAAAGTGTTGTTAGTATGAGTGTATACAACTTAATTCTGGAGGGTTTTTCTCCAATTGGCAAAGGGCGCTTTGACGGATTAACCTTGTATGTCAATATATATATATATATATATATATAGATAGATAGATAGATAGATAGATAGATAGATAGATAGATAGATAGATAGATAGATAGATATTATGATGCGTTTTGTATCACTAGTTTATCTTTCTGTTTATGTCTCTCTTTGTTCTTGTACGTTGTTATGTTAGCAATGATCATATGGTAAGTGTGATCCGAGGGAGATGATGTGATTGTAAAACAAGCTATAGGTGGAGAGGCTCGGATATACAATAATTTCATATTACTTTTAGTTATGTTTTGCTTGGTTAGACTAAAAAATCATTATTGTACATCGTTTTAATATTTGTATGTTGTATATAAAGTTGGTTTTTATAATTGAATTAAATGATTGTAAAATAACTTTATTTCTTATATGTTAACTCATATACTTTATTGATAATATGATAGTTTCTTTATAATTTAATACTATATATTTTGAATGTTACAATTTTTCATTAAATTTAAATATCTTTTGTTTTATATTTTCTAAACTTAATCACTGTTCAAAACTAAAATAACTATCCTATAAAACAAATTACTTACAAAATAAATAAAAACTATATATAATAAAATTGTGAAAATTATTTATTTTTATTTTTATAATTATAATAAAAAATGTATTATATTTATTATAAAAAAATTAAATACACATTAAATCATATCTTTTATATGAGATTTTTCTTTTCTCTGTATATTTTTTTTCTATTTTTACTCTTTAAATAATTGTTTTATTAAATTAAAATATTTATTTGATCAATTTTACTTTTAAATGTTTTTTTAATTTAACATTTTTAAAAATTAAAATAGTTATCTATAATAAAATTGTAAATTTTATTTATATTTACTTTTATAATTATAACAATAATAATTTTATTACATTTTGTTATCATAAAATAAATCGATACAAAATACACACAAGGCATATTTTCCCTAGTCATCATCATTATACAAAGAATATTGTCCCTGGTGTATATATATTTTCTTTTCCATTTTACTCTTTAAATAACGGTTTTTCAAATCAACATTATATAAAGAGATTGAGTATACATTTTCTTTTCCATTTTATTTTTCAAATAACCATTTTTTAAATTAAAATATATTAACAATGTGATCCTTTACACGAATTTTTTAAAATTAAATATTTATTTTATTTGATTCTTTTTTAAACTTAACAAATTTTTAAAACTAAAATAACTATTTATAATAACTTAAATTACTTACAAAATAAATCAAAACTATCTATTAAAAATTACAAAAATTATTTATTTATATTTTTATAATTATAATAAAAAATTTATTATTTTTATTATAAAAAGTGAAAAAAAAAGTTACTTGTGAATAAAATTAGAGACAAAATATGTATATAAAAAGGAATATATGTTTATTCTTTAATTCTTTATTAAACTTTTAAAAAGAGTTAATTAAAAAGCGAATTTTTGTAATATTATTGTATATTTTTCATGTTTTACACAAGTTAAATTTAAATACTTCTTTTATAACATCATACTTTTATAACAACATACACTTGCGGAATTCTATTTACTTTTAAAATATGTATATGATACACACAGATTAACTAGAGTTGTCAAAACGGGTCACTCGGTCCAATCCGACCCGACCCATCACGGGTTGGTCACTTAGTGAGTCAATCCAACCCGACTCATTTATTAACGAGTCAGAAAAATTTGAACTCGGCCCGACCCACCACGAGTTGGTAGATAAACGGGTTGGCTTACTAGCTCACTTAATTACAATTTCTTTTTTAAATAAAAAAAATTTACAATTCAAATCTAAACAAATTTCACTCTCAAATTTCACTCCCAACGTGTTTAATTAATTTTGAAAATAAGGAACTTAAATAATTTTTTCAAACAAAAACAAGTTAATAAATATTTTTTTATAAAATTAAATTTTAATGAAATAAAATTACGTAGATGGGTTGATGGACCAACCCGGCCCACCACGGGTTCAACCCGCATGAACCGGGTTTAAATGAGCCAGATTAAAATCTGACCTGTATAAAAAAAATACAATTTTTTCAAACCCAACCCGGTTCAAACTCGTGGTGAACAAGGTTGACTCGCGGGTTGTGACCTATTTTGACAGCTCTAAGATTCACTAGTTTGGATTAATTGTTAGCAACTATTAAATTAAAATTTCCATATTTATAATTTTTTTTTCTTTATATATTCTTTTCCAACAACCATCTACTGTTACCTCCACTTGGAAATTAGTTAAAGATGTAGATTTATAATATTTATATTCAATAAAGAAGATATTGAACCCCAAAAAAAAACAACGCACAAAAGATTAAACAAAAGAAGAATGGAGTTTTAATTTAAAACACCAATGTTGTTGTAAATATTGATCATGAGTTTATATGGGTAATCAGTGATACTCGTCCTTAAAAGAAAGATAACATACTATAATTGCTCAGACAGGTGAAACTTTGGATTTTTATATCCTCTCCTTAATTTGACATTTTTTTTTCAACAGCCACAACATCATTCACCCACATAGGAATTCACATATCATGCATGGGATCCGTGGATATTGTTTCCCTCTACTGCCTAACGCACGACAAGTGCTTCCCTTATCAATGTTGATAAAACCAACAACAGTCATTGCATGTTATGAGTGTCTCTCTACCTTAAGGTGTTGGACAGATAGTCATTACAAGAGGCGAGTCACAGTGTTGAGATCTTTTATGATCTCAGAATTTACTCAAAGAGGAAGTGATCAAGGAAGTAGGGAATATATTCCTGTGGTTGCAAGGTTGAGGGATTTGGACGAGAAATAAACTGAGAAAGGATGGTGAACTTCAAGTTTGGGTAAATGGAAACTAGAGTTTCATTTATGAGGACTTAATATAGCCACTGTTTTATCATTAAAAAAAATAAAACATTGGTGTTTTATAGATCATATGATATATAATTTGCTGCAAAATTTAGTTAACAGACACAAATTCGTAAAATCCCACAACTTTTAGTAGTAATTTCATGCATTGGTATTGAAAACCAAAACCATTAAATTATTCTCTACTAAAACAAGACTTGGTTGAATACTTCCTTGTGTCAAGCATCAAGAAACCAATAAATCAACTAGCCTTGGAGACTCGACATCTAAATCCACTTTATTTATTACGATGTCTTCTATACCTTTTAATATAGCCTTGTAGACCTACAGTACAACAAAAATTTACGATAGCTCATCATGAAGGATAGGATGCTCTGAAAGAAAATAGCTCAGCCAACACACTGAACATAATCCAAATCATCGATTTCAACAGCAAATGAAATTATCATATAACCTGTTAAGTAATAATGAAACTTTCAGATCGATTATCACTTTTATAGGCCTGCAATAATTACACAACGAACTTAGTTTCCCACCAAGACAGACGGGAGATATATTCTACGCCAAAATTTCATTATGCTACGTGTACAAAGAGAACTTAAATCGATCAGCTCTCATGGTGTGACAAAGTACGTTGCGCACTCAATTCACGCCTTTCTTTTCCTGTTGGCTGCTGAAGCATCTGGTTGAGCTTGACCAAATACAGACCTGCAGAAAGTGAAAAAACAAAACATAAGAGGAAAATGATAAAAAAAATGCAGTGTCAACTGATCAAGTTTCCATTCAACATCCTGAATGTTATTTCATTCACATTTGTGCTTCTCTTTTCTATTTCTTTTAACATTCTAGTATAACCAACTGTGAAACTTCAACTCATGATTAACAGAACTTGATATTTTATTTTCAAATTACCAGACGATACAACAATTTATCACATTGCAAGACTGCTGCTTTTGACTAATCTTTCTATATATACTCATTTAAATTACATCCTTCTGGATAATAAATTCACAAGGAACTCATTTTTCCGTTTAAACTCTCAAGCATGTCAAAAGTTTCATTTCAGATCTCACATTCTATATATAATTTGCTTTAGAGATTAGAAACAACGAGCATATACAATTCTGTATTGAAAAACTTAAACATGAAGAAAAGCAAGTATACCAGGACATTCATCTAGCAATAGAGATCCGACGGCAAACTAGTACATGGCTAAACTTTATATGCTAAAAACTACAATTGAATTCATTGACAAGTTTTTATGTGATGAAAATTTTTATCATTCAGTAACAAAGAGGGTCCATGGACTAAATTTTAACTTTCTTCAAAAATGCATTTGCTTGAACATAATCATACAAAATATACATAGCACATGCCGATTGTTTGCTTCAAGAGAACATTGGGGCTGTGAGGTATTATAATGAGATCATTCAAATACAGGGCTGAAAACTTCAATTAAACAGCTGGGATTGTCTTCCTCGTCTCATAGCTGTTCCTATACATGCTAACTCCTATATGAGACCGTCTTTTCCCTATGGCTATAAAAATCAGCTAAAGAGAGAAACTGATAATTGTATCAAATTATCTAATATCTAAAAAGTAACAACAGTCTGATAATAAACTAGTAAAGTAATACAATTGAAAAAGAAAGATTTCTATAAAAGTTGAACCAATTGCTACTCTCTGCTAACTAAATAATGAATATCTGCACCCATTTGATCTATATGGAAACAGAATGACAAAGGCTAAGTTGAGGAAATAAACACTTACCCACAGGTTGAACACTTATCATGATGCTCACAGAATATGGACAAGCATACAGAACATACGAAGCCCATGTCAATTGTTCGCTTATGGCAGAAGCACCTGCACAATTCATACAATTTGGAAGTAGGACTTACACACAACTTGTAGATAGCTAGTTCTACAGTAAACGAAGAAGCTTGCCATGATTAAAATGCAAGGCTAAGGACTTTAACACACTTGTATAAATCCAGTAAAATTACATTAAATATATCATCCATCCAAAGAAATCCAATGTTTGGTGCGATTCATTTTAACATGTACTAATCCATATCAAGGACGTAATGCCCTTGGTTATGTGTTGATATTAAATGAATTTAGGCTTTAAAAGCTGGGCTATTGATTGCATAAATTGTGGTTTTGTTTACAAGAACAGAGTCATAAATAGCTGTGTATCAAAGGGGAAGGAAAAAAAAAGAACAATTGGAGAAAAAAACAAGTTCAAAGATAACTTGTCCAAATGTTTGTAGTTACAGAAGAGAGGAGAAACAGAGAGAGAAAGAAAATGAAAATACAAAAACTTAAGTGGAAAAGATTTAACTAAGAAAAACTTACGATGCACGAAAATCCACACCCACAGATTTAGGAAGCCTTAAAAATGCACGAGAATGTAAATCAGTTGCAAATACTGTCTGCATACACAAGGTTAGATTAGTGTAGAAGGAAAACAAAGGTAAAATTGAAAAAACATAATTCAAACATGATTTGAAAAAGAATGATAATTTGTTTATTCCCTTTCAGAAGCCAATCATTAAGTTTCAAGTAATGACTTATTTCATTAGTTTATCACTTTTACTACATTATTTGGTTGATTTGCTTCTCTGGAAGAAAATAATGAGTTAATTGCTTCATTCTGTTTAGGAATTACATACTCAATAAAACAAAGCCTAAACTTGACCAGTTAGGACCCTAAAAGAAAGTATAGGCCCAAATTTAGCACATCTGCTACCCACGTCCATAGCAAAGAGAGATTTGTTAAGGCGTAGGGAGAGAATGTTGACATGACAGAGAAAGGAGAATGAGCTGATTGTGTAACGTGTTGGGACAGAGAAGGGAGAACGTATGAAGATAATCATTGAGTTTGATATGCACAGCGTGCATAAGCCCTTTGTAGGAGTTTAGCTCTGTGGTAGCAGCAATACCCATTCCACTGTAAGTGAAGTAACTACGTCTGTGTTGGACCAGTTTGCACACAACAACCCAAATACCTGATTTTGAAAGATTTCCCAACATTTATGCTGACCCAAAAAGGACCTCACCACCACTAAGTAGTTTGTCCTATCCCATATGAAGTAACCACCTATCTTGAGGAGCAACCATGAAAGAAAGAGCTTCAATCCCACACACCGGAAATATAAAGAAATTTATAACTCGTATTATCAAATAGATTTTTGGCAATAAATTTAAGGACATATTCGTTGAGTAGCAATAGCTGTGTCATCAAATTTTAAAATGATTCTGTCTGTAAAACTACTTCCTCACCAGAAATAAGAAATACAACACAAACATAAGAGCATGCCAGTCAGTTCTCTTGCAGGTCTTCTAAAGTCATCGAGGTTAGTAACTTATTTCATAAAGATGCCAATCCTAATGTGAGAAAAAAGTTTTCACCAACCCTAAAGCAAAGAATGAAGGTGACACAGCCATGATTTCAGTCCCTGTTTTATTGACAGATTAAAGCAAGACACCAGTATCAGCAATATATATATTGTGTCTCGCGATCACAGATGTCTCCATACCACAAATAAATCTTTTAAATTGTATATGATACATGGTTGCAAAACAAGTTTTAACAATTGCATTCAAGTCTGTGTATGGACTTTCGGGAAGTGACATGCTTCTATGAATCTCAATTTATGGCTTATTTCCCCTCTCTTCCAGGATCAGAAGAAAAGTATTATATCCCCATAAATCATAGTTGAATTCAAGCTTCAACAAAAAGGTAAAAGGGAGGACTGTTTTGGCATTACGAAAACAAGGTAGATGAGTTAGGATTTTGGTGAGGAGAGGCCAGAGCCACTAATATTTGGTGACCATGGTTTTCTCAACGATAAAATTTACAGCATTCACCGACTAGCAAAAGAACTATATTGCAAGACACACCAATGCTTAAAAAAAGACAATTATACACAAGCTTACTGAAAGATATTGATAAAGTCCGTCCAATTGGGGAGGCTTGTAATATATTCCACTAGTGATGTATGAAGCCTGTCATTCATAACAGACAAAAAATGACCATATTCAGTTAAACGTATTCTCCAACTGCAACATCAACTCGTTCAATATGTGTTTGTGCACTTTACTACCTGCTGGAGGAATGCAGAGTTGTTGGAGCCAATATAACAAGAATCTATAGGAACCTACAATATAAAATGTTACTTAGACAAAAATACTAGTTTCAAATAAAAATACAAGCAATCTTCATGTGTTAGTAACAAATATATTGGTGAAAGATGCCTGACTACTTAACCGTCTCTTGGCAAAAAAAAAAAAACCATAGTTGAAAGAAGAACGAAAGTTAAAGGCAAAGATTCAGTACATACCATAGAACGCTGTGCAGAGAATATTGCATTCATGATTGCCACATACCTGAAAAGGATAGAAGGTGTCATTTGAAGTGAAAGGTTAATGCAATATTAAATATATAGAAGGTAAAGATCGTGAGAAACACACTGTTCTGGTCCATCGGCAGCGCCTTGCAAACATAAAATCTGTTCATAAATCATTAAGTAAAATAGCAATTAATTAAAATCGAAAAATTGGAAACAAATGCCAAAATTAAAGAAAAACAAAAAAAATGGAGATTGGCAGAAAAATACAAGATTCCTGAAACAGAAACAGCCAAAGATAAGACCAGACATGTAAACCTTAAAGCCTTCACATATTACAAACAAGCAAAAACAAAAAGTAAATGACATATTTAGCATGAATTAATTCAATCAAACATCCAATACCAAAAAGAAGAGTGTAACAAAGTGTAAGCCCCGCAATACCAACATTAGATGACAGAAAAAATACGCTTATCATCTGCAAAGTCTAACATCAAACTCGTAGGGATCCTCATTAATACAATAAAAGGCGAAAGTCAATCGTAGTTGGCTAACAGTTCCAGTGGCAGTTGCAACTCATGGCCACATTCAAGTAACTACAAAACTCGATGCAATATCAAATTGACGCATATACACATACCCGAGGCTGCGGAGGCATAGGTCCTAAGCGAAAAGCTCTCTGTATATCTGACAATCCAATCAGGTAAAACAAATAAAAGGCAAAGCCTATTGGCAAGATAAGGTGTTTTTAAATTCATTAGCGTGAATCGAAAGAACTTGGAAAGTGAATCGGCGATAAGGATACAACAAAGCGCCATGGACAAGGAGCCCGATAGGAGCGAAGAAGGCACGGTTCCTGGTTTTCTAATAGCATCTAATTGCCGGTCCCTGGCGAGAAACTCGTTGATATTGTGGAGTAGGTTGGAATAAAGCGCGGGCATTGTGCCGGTGGTGGCACCGTGGTTCCGTTCGGAAGAGGAATCGTACACATAGGCGCAGGAGTTGCATCCAGTGGCGATGACGATGACCTGGTTGAGCTGGCCGAGGAGCAGGATCGAGTTGAGAAAGGCGAGTACCTGAGAAAGGAAACAAGAACATTGAGATTGGAACGGAACGGGAGTGGTGAAGTGGTTTGGGAACGGAAATTACTTGGGAGAGGAACTCGGCGAAGGGGAAGGGGAAAGTGGCCCAGAAGAAAGGATTGGTGTCTAGCGTCACAACCAGAAGGCTCACATCGTCTGCAACGAAACCATGGTGAGTGGAGAGAATAAGAGAATAGGAGATTGAGAGAGTGCCCAGAACCTGCGTAGATTTTCGAAGGTGCAGAAGGCATGGTGTGCTTGTGCTCTGTCCCTTCAACTGCTTCTGCTTTCACTTTCAATTCATTTCTTCGCACCTCATGTTTTATTCGAGCGCATACAATAAAACTTCCCGGGCTTCAGGCCCAACTGCCATTTTCCTAATAAAATAATAACAAATTAAATTATGGGACTAATTTTGGTCTGGTCAAGAGTTTTTAAAATTATGGATTATATTTAGATTCTATTTTTTTATTATTTTAATTCTATAAAATGTTTTGATCTTATGGTCTTTATGAAGAATGTTATTAAAATGATACCAAACTCTTCATGTGAGACTATGCAAAAGAGACATAATGATAGTAGAACAAAATAGGAAAAGAAAAGAAAAAGTTGTTAAGCATTAGTTCCATATGGGATCATGAATCAAATCTGAAGTTTAACCCGTGTATTGATTTTATAAGCTTTTTTGAATTCGGTGGTAGGTTATAAAACTGGATTTAATTTATGTTAAATCATAAGTCTTACTTTTCATCAAGTGAGCTTAGGTATGTGAGTTTATGATACAACTAGTTAAGTCAAAATAAAAATATAAAGTAAATTTTAAGCTTTTAATATCAATGTGTTGAAATTTAAAAAAAAAATGCGTGTTCTTTCTTACCCAAAAAGTAAATTATGTTCTTTTTCCTTTGACAGTGTGAAGTTCAAAAATCTCCGATGGTTATTAGATTTGTTTGCTGAAATATTATTACTATTTCAGTGACATGTGTTTTCGTTCTTAATTGCATTACAAGGTTACTCTCCTGAACTGGACCATGCTACAGAAAAATGTTATAAAATATCCAAAGGCATTTAAGATCGGGGCTTGGCGTTACATTAAAATGTTAATCACTGAATGGCGTCACCGTCAAATTCAGAGCTTCTATACAGATTATACCAAGAATCACTGACACTAGTTAAACAAGATAATATTAGAAAGTGAGTTTTTAAGCCTAACTCAACCCCACAAAACCGGCTTGTAGGGTGAGGTTTGCACCTCACTTATATATTATAATTTGGCCTTATCTCTAGTCGATGTGGGACTTCCAACAGATAATTAAGCAAAACAGAAAAAATAAATGGCTAAGCTTGTGATGAAACCCGAAATTCCATAGTTTTCCAGATTCACGAATGAGTACAAGAGTACAGAAGAATATCAGCAACTACAATGAGCACCCGTGACAATGAAAGTGGCAGGCAAACTAAACCCACCACAAAATTGATGAGATTACAATGCCACGGGTATCATGAACTTGACAAGCAATAACACAAGTGCATACGTCAATGTGGGTAATGGTTTCACCAAGGAGCATGCAGCAGAAGCACCAGAAGAAATGCCGCTAATAGGACCATTTGCAGGAGAGAATCCTGGAAGGCCCGTTGAAGGAACCACTGAGGATATAGGCGACATAGGACCTGCTCCATCGAATAGTGGTGCTGGTGCTGGTCCAAACACCGTGTCTTTTGCAACGGTGGTAGGTGGGGCAACAAGAGGAGGAAATTCCTGTGGACCTGCAACATCATTTGAAATATGTTTATAAGACATTTCAGGGAATACAAGGTATCTTGTGCCACCAAGTTCTCTTTTGGGGGTGAGTTTCATTGGAGTATGTTAAATTAGGAACTGCAACTGGAACATCCCTGATGATCGAGGGGATAGAGCCAGATACAGACTGCTACGTTTCCTGGCATCAGTTTAGTCCGCATAAAAATGCTACACAACATCAAACCTAACTAAATTTTAGTTCTGCAAATAAAGTCTATTATAAACTCAATTTGCACGGATAGAACATTAGGAATTTCAGATATTTAAAGTTGTTATCTATTCAGAAATAAGGCATGTTTGGCCAAGTAGCTAAATAGGAGATGCAGTGCTCTTTAGTCTTCTTATAATTTGAGTTTACATTTTAACCCCAACAAGAAACCTCAAGAGGAAGGAATTCCCTTTCCTCCAACCCATCTCGGTAAATAAATCATCTAAAATAAAATCAAAACAATGCATTATGCATTTGAGCTGTGTTTATGTAACACTAACCTGGACATCGAGGCTGAAGAGAAGGGGACAACCTGCAAGACGAGAACAAAAGTTAAACAAGCTTAAACTCAAAGAATGGTACAGCAAAATACACAACGTTGAACAACGTGGTTAGAACCACATGTACACAGTGTGTAAGCATACATTGTTGCTATGGTGCCATTGACAATGCCATCATAATTGCAAGAAGTAACATTGCAACCACCACTAGTCTGCTGCACTGTAACATTCCCAAGCATAAGGTTGCTGCCTTTACATTGCATGCTGGAGCAAGAAACAGCTAGAGAAGCCGGCATACAGTACAGACTACAAAAAAAAAAGTAGCAAACCATTAAACACCAGAAACAGCACCTCCTCAAACACTACAGAGATCATTTTTTACTTCACACCCAAAAAGAGATTTTGGGTTTATGCAGTAGTGGAAAAGGAAAAAATAAATTAAGAACAGAAAACAAACAATTGCTTAGTTAGTACTTCAAGTTTGTTGGTCCACAGCTACACTGAACACAGTGCCCCGCGGTAATGGCGTAGCTCCCATTAGGGACAAGCAAGCCAAAATCAGAGGCGGATTTAGGAAAATTCGAAGCACAGGCTGCAACACGAGAGAGAGAGAGAGAGAGAGAGAGAGAGAGAGAGAGAGACTTAGAAATTGAACAGAAAATTATAAATTGCAGTAAAAAAAGGAAAAAGAGAAAAACAATCATTAGCTTATTACCGGGTATTGGAACAGCAAGGATATCTCCGTCGTTAATGGCAGTGCTTCCCATGGCATTGACATTCATCAAATCTGTAAGCGTGGTGAAGTACCTGGCAGCAATGGCAGCGAGTGAATCAACGGGTCGAACGACGTAAGAGAGGTAAATGGCGGGGAGAGAGTTGTCGGAGCCGTTAAAGCAGGTGCAGGGGAGAGGCACGACGAGGTTCTGTCCCACATCGAGGACGGAGGGGTCGGGAATGGAATTGGCCTCGCGCAGCTGGTCGGAGGAGACGAGGCCGCCGTAGACGGAGTCGGCGATAGAGGGTAGAGAGTCGGAGGGGCGCGTCTTGTAGTTGGTGGCGACGGACTTGCGAATGCCGTCGACGCAGGAGCAGGAGATGGGGATCTTGAGGAAGAGCTTAGAAGGGAGGATGTGGTGCTCGACGTCGGGGTAGGAGATGTCGATGGCATTCGCTGTGAGAAGCGCGATGGGGTCGATTTGGAAAAGCGAGGCCACTTCGGAGACTTTGAGGTCAGTGTAAAGGGTGTATCCCAGAAGCGCGTTGCATGAGTCGGAGTTGGAGCATGGCTCGATGGTGGATTTGCACGCGACCTGAAGAACTAACAAGAGGAACAGTGTACCCTGCAGAAGGTGCTTTGGGTTTGGCATTCTGAAAATAGAAAGAGGTTTAAGTTTTCGGGCAACAGGGTACAATGTGGGAAAGTGATTCTAGGATGTCGGAGTGTAGGAAGAGGAAGCAGTTTAGGGTTTTTGTGAGGAGTGTTCTCCCTCTCTGGGAAGTGAAGGCGCAGAGAGAAGAGTGTTGTGTTGGGGAGGGGAAAAGTATCACTTTGAAAAGCGAAAGGGAGTTTAGAGTAGAAGACAGGTGTGTTCCATAGAGCCACAAGGACACTGTTTCTCACTGGTCATACTCTCATCATAGAGATTTCAACCTTTTACTGGCTTCGCTGGACATTTTTGTCCTTCTCTCTCCAAAACCCAAAAATTCATTGAATTGTTTTTTTTTTCAATTTTTACTTACTGGAATGTCAGATTCAAAAATTTAAATGGTGATGAGATATGTTAGTGAATTATTATGGTTTTGTCCTTTGGACGGCACGACTTGTGTCGCGATGGGAGCAACGAAGGATGGGGATGTTTGGGTAATTTAGTTGTTTGAGGAGAGGGTGGTGTGGCCCGCATTCAAGTTTATATTGGTTGGTATATAGTTTGCTTTTTCAGGCGTTTGGGCAAGGAATTTTAGTTTTCTTGCTGTCTTTCTCTATGCCAATCCAAAACGATACCTTGGCTAAGTGAGAGTCCCGTCATGGAAGCAAAACTAAATTCTTTTTTAAAATAATAAAGTAAATTTGGGAAGTTCATCTACGTTTCGACGTGTTTATCGATTGCAGTCAATGTCATTATTATTTCTTTACTACTTCTTGCAGATTATCATCCATTATTTTCAGCTATTTTAGGTACGTCTGCCATTTAACCTTGCATAATGTAAAGTGAGTGGAATTTAAGGCTTAGGGGTACATCTGCTTTCATAATTATGTAATTATGATATTTTAAATATTACCGGATTGGTGAAGTCTTATGACGCATGATTTTGTAAGTGTAAAGTTGTATTATTGATAATAACTTTATTCAGACGTGGTAACGAGGTAGTTTTATCCTATTTAAAGTTGTATGTGTTACCACGTTTTTGGATGGGTTCTTTTTAGTGAAGTTATTACAGAACAAATTATTTTTTTCTGTTATAATTGAAGTTGTATGAAGTGGCGTGACTTTAATTCTATTTTCTATTTTTTTTTAAGTGAAGTTATCATATATTGTAGGGTTAAATATGTTTTTAGTCCCTAAACTATTGGTCGTTTCTGATTTTCGTCCCTCTTTCAAAATAAGGTACAATTTAGTTCTCATTCTTTTCGAAACTTTTAGTCCTCGAAAACTAACGCCGTTAAAAATGTGCTGATGTGTCTAACGGTAGACTGACACAATCTTTTTTCTTGCGTTGAACCTTTTCTCCCTCTCTCTCCCTCGTCTCTTCCTTCCATCTTCCACCCAACCTCCCCACAGGTATCACCACCCACCTTTCTCTCTGAGGTTATCTCTTTAAAAACCCAACTTTTTTATTGAGCCCATGACTAATTGGTCACCAAGGTACAGCTTTATTATTGTGCTAGGGTTCACCCTCCTCATTTGTATTATAGATCCGAAATATTTAAAATAGAAACATTTGGTCTGCCTCCAAAGTTCAAGCTAAATGTTAATTACTTTCCATGATTTCTTCCATTAAGGTGCTATAATTATGGTCTTTTATCATTACAGGATCCACAATGTCTTCACGTTTCTTTTTTTAAATTATTTGTTTGATTTGATTCTGTAATCATCTCTTACAAATCTTATCTTTCCAGTCATAATCAAAATACGGAAGTGAGAATCCTGAGTGCTTTGAATCTCTATTTATTTTTTGTTTTGTAATTCTTGGTCTATTGATGCTTTTAGCTTTATATAATAATCCTTCTGAACCCTATACCTAAGCATACCTGGCAATGCAGGTTGCAGAACGAACTCTCTTTTTGTGGAATAATGAGCACATTGTCAGCTTAATTGCCCAAAACAGGACTGTAGTATTACCAATCATATTCGAAGCATTGGAGAAAAATATCCAAAGTCATTGGAACCAGGCTGTTCACGGACTGACCGTGAACGTTCAGAAAATGTTCATAGAAATGGATGCAGAATTATTTGAAGAATGTCAGAGACAGTATGCAGAGAGGGAGGCTAAAGCAAAGGATTTAGAAGAGATAATGCAACTTAAAAGTGCAGTTGGATAATCAGTTAGACGTTGTTAGCAATGTCTGCAGATTAAGAATGTTTAATGAAATACTTTCTTGTATTTTTTTTCACTTACAGAGAGAAATACGGATAATTTTTTCGCACAAAATAGCTTTATAAACCTCAAGATTCAAACTCTTCATCCAAATTTCTGCAGTACATGCATCTTTGCTGATCAATTTTATAATAAATTATGTACACGCACTACGTTTGATCAGGTTCTTGGGCAAGGCTTCTATCAGAGTCCAAGAGGGGACAAACACAAAGGAAAGCGCATGGAGATTATGCAGTGTTGGACAAGTTGAGCAAGTGAAGATATTGCTATCGGTTATTCCCATTTTCTCGCGCACCATCGTTTTCAACACAATCTTAGCACAACTGCAGACATTCTCAGTCCAACAAGGGAGGGCCATGGACACCCATCTCACCAAATCCTTTAACATCCCTCCAGCGTCGCTTCAGGCCGGTTTGGCAGAGGCAACGGCGTTTAGCTTCGTGGGTGACGGCAGTCTTAGAACTCGAAGGAGAGGGAAAGGGTATCCCTTTTTGCAGAGGGTGGGGAGCTTGGGTGGAAGATGGAAGGAAGAGACGAGGGAGAGAGAGGGAGAAAAGGTGAGAAAGACTGACTCAACGCAAGAAAAAAAAATTGTGTCAGTCTACCGTTAGACACATCAGCACATTTTTAACGGCGTTAGTTTTCGAGGACTAAAACCAAAGTTTCGAAAAGAATGAGGACCAAATTGTACCTTATTTTGAAAGAGGGACGAAAACTATAAACGACCAATAGTTTAGGGACTAAAAACATATTTAACCCTATATTGTACAACTTCAAATAGGATAATTTTTTTTTCTTGGTGTTATGGCTGAAGTTATATTTACAAATACAAATGTCATTTGAATATTGTTTTTTTAATAATCGGATGGCGGTTTTTATTAAATATTTTATCATAATTTTATTTTATTTTAGTTTATAAAATTTTAATTAATTTCATTTACTATAGTTATTTATATCAATAGAATGAATAATTAGAAATTTTATTAGAATAAGACTAAATTATTTATATAATTTTGAAATAATATAAAAATATTAATAATATGGGAAAATAAATATTATAAAATGATATATTAGTATTTATATGGACAATTTCTTTTATCATGATTTTTGTTAACGTGACAACTAAAATTGTGAAACAAGTTGAAAAAAGATTTTGGAATTGTTATTATAATTTATTTTGGAGAAACCATGAAAAATCATAAAGATAAATACAAGGTTTACAAAATTGAACGTTAAATCAAGGAGTTGGTTATACACAAGAAAGATGTGTGCACCTACCGTGAAAGCGATACTCTAATTAGATGTGCAAAATTGATGTGATTTTTAAAATTTTATTTTTCTCCAAAACTAAAATAAGAAAAGAAGAGAATTATTTTTGTTTTTGGATCCAACCAAGACAATTCCTTAGTTTGTCCCTACATCCATACATCATATTGTTAAACTCCACCCTACGAGCTACCCCATAACCATTGAAATACCAACATGAATCTCACCATGAGGTTTATGAAATCATGTCAATTATCGTTATCATACAATCATATTCATCAACCATAAAAATACACATAAAGATGTTCACAACCCATAAATATTTATTTATTTAAATCAATTAAGTATAATTGATTTATAAAACTAACTCACCCAAATAAAGAATCCAAAACAAAGAAAACATATAAAAACTTAGAAACAAAACGCCCAACAATTAAGTATAACTAATTTATAGAACCAAATATTAAACATTTGAAAATATTTTGGTTTTATATGCTATAAACATGTGTCACATCAATTGAGAAAGAAATTAGATGATAAAGGGGGGTCTCTAATTTTGGTGGGATACAATGCTACTAGAAGATATAAGTTGTATGATCCAACATCTGGAACAACTTCTATCAACATGGATGTGATAGTAGATGAGGCTGAAGTTTGGCAGTGGGAAGCAACATAGCAGGGTGCATCGATCATTATTTTAGAGGATGAATTTGCAGCAATTGATCCAGATGTGTGCAGAAGAAATGACAGTGGTAGAAGGTCATCAAGAATAACCCCAACTGCCACCTTATCTGAGAGACTATGAATTGTTCTATGATGCTACTGTCGCTGCAGAAGAAGACTTTATACACTATGCTCTAACAGTAGAGGCTGAACCCATTGAGTTTGAGGAAGCCATTGTAGACAAAAAATATCAAAAGTTCATAACAGTACCTTTGAGTATGTGTGTGTTTTTCTTGTTTCTCTGTTTTTCACCTCCAATGTTTCCCAGTGCTTTCTCTCTCAGATTTGTGTGTGTGAGTGAAGAGGGTCTTCTTTCTTCTTGAAGCCCTAGGACGAGTGCTCATTTTCTCTCTTCCTTCTCTCTAAACACTAGTGTTTTTACTCTTTCTCTCTCAAGACCTAATAAGCGTATCTCATACTTACAACATTAAGTTAACAATGCAAAATATAACTAAAAATTGATTCCATTATCATCTTTATCTATGTCAAATATGATATTTGTGTTTTATTTTCATTCACTAGTAAAAAAAATTGCGTACAACGTCGAATATTTTGGGATTTTAACGGCGAATTTGCAAATGACGTCATATCATGAGACGTTGAATTTACGTCATTTAAAAAATTCGACATTAAACTTAACGTCTAATTTCAAAAAATCGACGTTAAATATAACGTCGAATTTTGTCAGTCTTCAATGTTAATCAATTTTTAGTTTTTTTTTAATTAATTGTGATCATTTTTTACAATTCTACGAAACCTGAAAAGCAAAAAAACAACAAATTTAAGTTTTTGATATTTTATAAAGCATGAACTATGAACATGTAGTGTAGTATCAACAACAAACAATAATAACCAACAACAAACAAGTTCAATCAAACAATAACAACAAACAAGTTCAACTAGACAACAACAACAAACAAGTTCAACTAAACAACAACAAACAAGTTCAACAAAAAACAACAAACGAGTTCAACAAAGTTCTTCAAAACGAAAACGAAAATGAAAACTAACCTTCAAAAGGTGGGTTCGTCGGAATAAAGTTGT